ACTGAATTACAATCAGTCATTGTATTGCAGTATGTGCAATTTAATTTTTAAAATTAACAAATTAAAGACAGCCCATCAAATATTTTCATGATGTACAGTACAAATACTTTCAAATTTGAATAATATATCATACTTCTTCACAATGCGAATTTTGCATGAAATGTATGCTTAATTGTCATGAAAAATGCAATGCAATCTTCAATTAGGCTTCATTTTCTTTACGCATAATGTAATCTCTTCTTTCTGCTGATTTTTCCTCTCATCTGAGTTTGCTTAAGTTCACTCATGATACGAATCAACTTTCTCATCAAGGTGTCGTTTAATGACGTTTAATGCATCTTGCATGTAAATACAGACATTTCACGTTAAGATAATCTACGATGAACCTGTGAACGCGTTGGTAAAACGCGTCCTGACCTGCAGCATGCACTGCAGCAGAATGCAACTGTAACATGCGTGTCGCCTTCGAACCGCGGAGGCGCAAAACACGCACGAGCGCAAGTCATTCAATCAGATCATACGATCCCCGATCGGACAGTGTTAACACGACTGATCACAGAGCGTCTTACCGCGGGCAGCAGAGGCTCCATTTGTGCGCCCTGATCTATTGCTCCGGGGTCACAGATAATCTACAGTCACAGTAAGTCTCACCCGACTTGTAAATGAAAATGACGCTGACAGCTGTTAAACCTGCTCTCTGAGAGAATCATTAGATCCTGGATTACTGCAGTATCACATTTATATTGAGAAAGCATAGGAAATGTGCCGGTTAAAGATGGTTTAGTAAATGTGACCCTCCTTCCACCCCAAAAGAAAGAATAAAGAAATAATATTTTGCATATATTTAAGTTAACAAAATGATCGGACAGTGTTAACACGACTGATCACAGAGCGTCTTACCGCGGACAGCAGAGGCTCCATTTGTGCGCCTTGGTCCTTCACGTCCATCTTCTGTACCTGTAGATCAGCTCCAGTGCGTGTAGTGCGTACTGCGTGCAGCGTCGCCGATCAGCGCAGATGATGTGCTCTGCTCACATATTTAGTGCAGTGATATTGTTACAGTGCTCACTCATAAGGGCGCATGTAGCTGCTGTGTGACGCAGCAGTGGGTAGTAGCACTTAAACTCCACAGGGGAGGGGGCATTATGTTATAGTGCCTCGAAATTTGTCAGGAGTGGGCCTTACAAGAGAGATTACAGATGCATTTTGTACAAATAACTAGGAGAAGTACAGGAGACCGTGCAGAACTAATGGTCACGGTTGTCTGCATCTTAGTAACTATTTTGAGTCAAAAGTCCAATTTCACAATTGCTAAATTTAATAGTTCAAAACTGTCTTAAAGGGATAGTTCACCCAAAACTACAAATTTCGTCTTAATTTACTCCCCCTCCTTGCTTATTTTTCCTCTGTGGAACAAAAGAAGCGTTTTTGTCCATATGAAAGTTTCAGAAAGTTTTTGCGTTTCACAAAGGAAAGAAAGACAGAAGTTTGGAAGATTGTGGGCGAGCAAATGTTAATTTTCATTAGCATATTTGGATTGCATCCTAGTGTAAATAATCAAATGTGCATTTTTATTTTATTGAGATGACTATAGATGGTTACCCTTGTTCTGAGAAAAGTTTTACATGCAATATTCACAAAAAAACAAATAACTATTCTCAGGACAAGGGCATTTTTCATTCTATACAATTTATTCCAATTTCTGTTGGCCGAAACAATGGTTTGATATTTTTAGATGCTATTCTTTCAATGTTTGCCGTTTCATGATTATGTTTCTGTTGAACTTCTGTTGAAAACCATTAAGTAGCTTATTATTGAGTATTTAATGGAAAGATCCCATCATGTATACTTACCTCTATAGTGTGACAACATGCCCCACTGTATGTTTAGTGAGGGCCAGTAATGGTAAAAATGTTCAATAGCGTTTTTGCCAGACTTTAAGGTTGACTTAAATGTCCAATTTAAATATACAGTAAATCTACTCTGAGAAATACTGAAGTAAAACTGTGCCAACTAGACCAGGTCTCCTCTCTATATATATGATCTATAATAACAATATATCTCATATTATTCAATTTACGCTTTCTTCTTTACAATAACTCTGATGACTTTGGAAACAGGCATGATCAGTGCAATGGTGTTGTAGGGCTAGGCGATACAGCGAAACATTTATTCTTGATAGTTTTCCAAATGTTGATGATACATATATATTTTACACATATATTACACATGTTGATATGTGTAAAACTATATATATATATATATATATATATGATCTATATAATAACAATAAATCTCATATTATTCAATTTTCGCTTTCTTCTTTACAATAACTCTGATGACTTTGGAAACAGTCATGATCAGTGCAGTGGTTTCTGCACTGCCATTGTCAGGCCTGCACTACGGCTCAACTTATTTATTATTTGGGTGAAGCTGATATAAAAGAAATCCTGGACCATCTCCTAAAAGGTACAAAAGTGTACCTTTTGAAAAGGTACCGCCCCAGTGACAGCTTTTGTACCTTTTTTTCTGAGAGTGCATTAAGAGCCAACGAAACTCCTGCTGCGCTTTTAAATCTGCCATCTGCACTGCCATTGTCAGGTCTGCACTACAGCTCAACTTATTTATTATATGGATGAGGTGGATATTAAAGATAAAAAAGAAAGAAAGAAATCCTGGACCATCTTTAAGCTGCTTTTTATATCATCTACAATAACAGCCTCCTCCTCATATACATTCTTTGGACATTTAAGTCAAACTTCTGTTTGAATTTCATTGCATTACACAGCGCAGTATCAAACCAATTATCATTTGTACTCATTTTCTCAATTTTCTTTTCATTTTTGCTCAATGACTAACAAACATTTTTGTATACATTTTCCTTGTGTTATCATTTCTTCTTCTTTTTTTGAATAAATGCCACTTAGTTTAATATTTTGTTATCTGATTTTGTGGATTATCCAAATGCTTTTGATAAAAAAGAAAGAAAGAAATCCTGGACCATCTTTAAGCTGCTTTTTATATCATCTACAATAACAGCCTCCTCCTCATATACATTCTTTGGACATTTAAGTCAAACTTGTGTTTGAATTTCATTGCATTACACAGCGCAGTATCAAACCAATTATCATTTGTGCTCAAATGCTGCACATGTACTCATTTTCTCAATTTTCTTTTCATTTTTGCTCATTGACTAACAAACATTTGTGTATACATTTTCCTTGTGTTATCATTTCTTCTTTTTTTTTCTTTCTTTTTTTTGAATAAATGCCACTTATTTTAATATTTTGTTATCTGATTTTGTGGATTATCCAAATGCTTTTTGGGACAGTGTATGTTTGATACGTCAGGCTGCTTCTCATCAGTGCAATATTTTCCACATATTTTTCCAATATTAATATATTCTTACATTGAATAATAATGTATTATATAAAGTTAATATACTATATAATTAAACTAGTATAAAATTATATTATATAGTATATAGTTAATTATAATAGTGTATAATTACATAGGCTACAATATGATGCAAGTGTCTTTTGGTTTCATCATTACGAGGTTGTCGCCATCTAGTGTTCGCAATTGTGTACTACAGGTTTTAGGGTTTACAGATAAACTGGCTTTTTCCTTTGACATCAGATTTTTGAATCAAATAATGAACTGTACGTTAATCTCATAATTCTACACTAGAACTCTAAAGTAACGGTTTAAAAGGGTTACTTCATTTACTAGGCAGCTTATCACTGAACCACAGGGAGGCAGCAAACTATCAAAAAGCATACAGGATTTCTCAAATCAGTTGGATATTATCACACTACTCCCACTTTTTCTGCTTTCTTTTTGCTCCTGGAAAACTGAAAAACTGCACATTTTGGATACCCACACAGTTCAGGTCTTGAATAGTTTACTAGTGATAATAGTTTACTAGCTGATAATTTAATTCAGATGTATTAAATAAGGGAAACACAAATAAATATGCAGTACAGGGCTAGGACCAGGATAAAGAGCTAATGGTGTAGTGTTTTATAACATAGACATTTTATATATTTGTTCCAAACTCTGGACAACTTACAAAATGTAAGTGAAAATTGTAAAATTTCCAGAATAGTGTGCAAAGTCTGCTTTTGGCAATACTTGAGTGCTCGTTTATATTCATATATCTGGGTTTCTATATGGACGTAAACGAGCTTAATCATTGAAAGGTAAAGATTTGTATTATACAAAACTCTATTATAATCTATTGGTAAATGTTGTCATGTTTTCGATTGTGTGTAATATAGCCTAGTATTATAGGCCAAAAGGTGGATCAAGTCACACCTAAAAACAAATGCAATTGCATTAGATACAATATCAAACCGTCTATCAATATCAACTGAAAGAACTTCAGTTTACACAATGAATGTTACCCAAATGTTGCAATGATGTTATAGTGGATGTATGAAGTCACAATTAATTTTCAGGGGCAGTTTATATCTTTGAGGCCATGTTGTCCTTTTATGTTCAAATACTTAGGTCACTACTGTGTCTAACTCAATTAGACAAGTCCATACATTTTTCTAAAAATCCAGGGCATTTTAGTCCTTATAACTGGTTAATTTCCTGTCTTGACCATTCAAGTAAATGACTTTGCACTTATATTTAGCAATCAGAAATTTCCAAATACTACGGTCTTAACTTTGAACCTCTTATTTTATAATCTGAAACAATTTTGTGCTATATTTAATGCATGGCACTTGGTTTGATATTTTATTTAATGCAGTGACACGGATACATTAAGTGCCTTCCCCGTTTAACTTTAGGGCTACTGTAAAATTAAGTAGCCAACAGCATTTTTCCCCCATTTAAAAAAAAAAAATTGTAGTCGAATGAAACAAGTAGCCAATATAAAATAAAAAGGTTGTTCTGGGCGATTTTCTTATTTGTTGCATTGCATGACTACATTTTATTATGAAAATGCATCGTACAGGCAACAAAATTCACATTGTGACTGGCGTTATCGATATACCTCTCCAAGACAGGTAGAGAAAAATGGAACAGAAATATTTGGTTTTGAAATCAGCTTAGTTTGATTCTTGTGTACTTCGCCCAGGGTTTCACATTCTGTCATATTTATTGCAATTAAGCACACCACAATTACATTACCTTTACACATTAGCAGGCCTAATTCGCGTTTTTCTCATGAGAAAACAGCCCATGAAATACAAATGAAAATGTCTGGGTTGGCAATAGGTTAAATGATAGTCTATGTTTTTATCTCTACCAAAAAAAAACAACAACAAAAATAAAGAAATTAAGTTACTCTGGTGTGGTTAAAAGCATACGTCCACAAAACGCTCACAAAATGAACCTACATACTATATGATATTTACGAACAGACGACGCGACTCTAAAAGCAACATCAATATAAGCTTACATAAAATCCGACCTCCTACAGACATGCGTCAGAGGAACTCTTTTTGGGGGCCTCTTCAACAGGTAAGCAGCTAGCTACTTCCAGTTCAGGCAGACCATTGTTTTTCATAACAACTTGAACCGGGAACCTATACGAGTTGTATCCTTATTTTTTCAAACATCAAAATATTTAATATATGTTGCTATTCGAACGAACAAACGTCTAAGTACATTAAACAAACCTAATCCGGTTTTCTATATTGTACATCAACATTCAACGAGAAGAAAATCACAAATGGATAGCTAAATACAAATATGTACAGTTCTTCCATACTTACAATAGGTTTGACAGTTAGAACCTTAAAATGTCATTTGGGAACGAAAACCGCTTGCTCAAGTTTTCGGGCATGTCAAAGTTTTTCGTTTAAAACTCGGTGCGTGACGTCCTTCGAACGACGCGACCAAGATTTATGAATAAATAAACAAATAAGCACATAAATAGGAATAAATAGATTATACGTCACTCGTGAATCCTTGAACAGGTTTCTTGAACAGTTTCTAACTGTGGGGGTAAAAGCTGTAGTAGCCGATGTCCTTGGAGCAGTTTTTCTCGCATTCCCTCGGCGTCAACATTTCAGATTTTAATGGAGACGATGTCTCGGAAACCGGCGTGGCAGATGGCGAAATCCTCCTCCGCTTGGCTTGCTCAAAAATCCCAGAATCGCTCGAATCGATCGACTTAATTGAGGACGGGGTTTCTATCCAGCTGGATTCAGACAGGTCTTTGGGTTTGGACTCATCCGCCCCGCCTAGCGGTGACCTCTCGGGCGCGATGGCGTCTCCGTCCTCGAGGCCAGGGACCAGGTAACTGGAGGAGGTCGTTCGGCTCCCCACGGAGTTGGACGGCCAGCATGACAGGACGGAGCTGGACTTGCTGCAATATTGCGGCGGCGTGCGGGTGCCCCACCCCGGCGGCTCGCCATAATACCCCAGAGGTCTGTTAGAGCATCCCGCCCCGGGCAGGGGCAGCGCTTTAACACCGGCAGCCGCGTACGACAGAAGGGTGGCCGCGTTACCGGCGAAATCAGCAGCCGCCGCAGCATCGTATGCCGAGGCGGCAAAGTCCAGTCGGTTGTTGGCAGGGGTGACAAACCATCGCTGCGGGGAGGCCACCGTGGTCTCCTCGGTTTGTTGCGGGGAGAGCAAGCTGTTACTAAGTGGGACGCTGCGGTCCGTGCCAGGAGCGCCTCCGACGCCAGGGTGAAAGCGGGACTTGGCATACGAGCTGACAAATTGGTCCTGCAGGAAAGAACCAGTCATGGCATATCTTGCGCCAGGCATGATCTGAGAGCGCGGAGAGTCACCCGGGGACGGCGTCAACCGATCGATGTCGCACCCTGTGTAGACACTGGAGAAAGATGGTGGACAAACACAACAATGTTGCATATGAGAAGCGTAGCTAACCGTAAATAAAGCGTTGCAAATGTGCTCGAGAGCATTCGATTTTTCTCACAATTTCCCATTATGTGCGTAATTGCGCGAATAAGCAAATTAACACTGCGCAAGGTCAACCCATATGCATATTGCACCAGTGTAGATTATAATGATTTAAAAACAGTAAAACTACTAAACGGTGTTGTTTTTCTCAACTTTTCTAAATAAACATTGCTGGCAAAAACACAGTGCGCGATAGAGTCATAATGAGATGCTGTGAAGTGAAATTAAGATTTGTATCTTGAGATTTGCCAGGCCAAAGCACAAAACACACAAATGGTTATAAATGCATCGGCCAATTGGAATTCCGAGCCAAAATCATCTTTCTTTGCGGTTTGACTCTTTAAGAAATCCCTGCATTCTTTCATCCAGATGCACTGATTTAAATGAGCAAATAAAATAAAATCACACACGATTCCAGGTTCTTGCAAGAATGTTAACCTGCCAGGGTTACAATTCGTCTGTGATCTTTATGTCCGAGAAACACAAATGCGCACGCACATATACTTTGGTTAAGATCATAAAAACAAAAATGTAGCCTACTTCATGTGCACCTAAATGAATTGGTTACACTCAAATTAATAATATTTATTACGATTAACCCGGACTACATTTTATAGGTCAGACAGGACAGAAAAGGTCACCATATTAAAAAGAAAAATCAAAACTTACGTGTCATAATTGTCACGGAATCCCTTTGCAAATGGATTGTGGTCGATTTTTAGCTGCGTGATCTGTAAGTGGCAGAAAATTCGAACATTTAAAAACGCTTTATATAATCAAATCAATCGAATAAAAAACAAAAACAAAAACAAAAAAACACCTTTCTTACATCAGTATTTTGATATGCGGTGACCGCAATAAACTGCGTCTCCGGGAAAGTGAACGTCTGCACGCGCCCGGGTTGGCTCGTGTCCTCGGTTCCGTCCTCGTTCACCTGCACCACATGCAGTCGAGGCTGGAATTTATGCAGCGACTGCATGACGACCATCTGCAGGAATTCAAGCGAAAAAACGAGTCAGAGAACATCTCCTCACGCGTCTTTACGCTCCCGTAGTTCCATTTGGAACACAAACATGAAAACTAATTTACCATCGGTTTTGTCAGCTCATTTAAATATGCAATTATTGGTTACATGCAAATTATCCGGTTTAACTCAAGTAATATAAAAATAAAAATTATTATGGCTGGGCAAAAAATGTTTCCACATGGTTACAACGACGAACGTAATGTTTAAATGTTAAGGTAGCATATTTTCACTTATGAATGATCTTACCACAAAAGAGCATACGTTTTTATATTTAGATAAATATGAACTAATACTAAAAAGAGAGAGAGATTGTTTAATGGAGCTGCTTGTAATGTGCAACTTCTGTAAAATGCTACCCAGCACAGCATTGTTGCTAATATTTCTAACGCATTCTGAACGCATGACACAGCAGTGAGACTAAAAATAATGAAATAAAAATAAAACAAATCTAACGATAAATAACTAACCTGTCCTGTGTTGTTCGTTGCTCCTTTATTGTTGGTTAGTTTAAGTTTTCCAAAGGATATCTCTTGACGCATCCAGTGCGCACCGGTGTTTGGCGAATCCGGGTGCATGTGTACTCTGTTTCCTGTTTACAATATAATTGAAATGTCAGTTCGGAGTCAGGATAAGAAAAATAATTAAAAATAAAAATAAACTCTGCGTTTTATTCAAAATCAATGTTATTTAAACAGATAATAATAATAATAATAATAATAATAATAATAATAATAATAGAAATGTATCATCATCATCATCATCACCACCACCACCACCACCACCATTATTATTATTATTATTATTAT